GGCGGCGCTCTTGAAGCTGCCGCCCGCCGATTGAGGCTGAACCGTCCATCTGGACGGTTCAGGGTCTGGCCTGGCCTCGCAGCATTGAGGCCAGACCATTGCCTACCGGTATAAGTACCGGTACCCGCCTCAGTTGAGGGATCGGCCTATCGGAACTCTACCAGCACGGCATGGTCAGTATCATTGTACTGTTTTGATGCGCTAAACTTAGCGCAGGGGCGCAGGGGCTGAAGCAGGAGCGCAGCATAGCGCAGTAGCAAGCGGAGCAGCAGCAGGGCGACTGAGCCAGCACGGCGGCCATTGCCGCCTGAGGTACCGGGAGCTTGGAGGGTCTCTCCTCCTCTCCCTCGCCAGTCCCCTCTCTCTCTCTCTCCTCTTCCTCCTCCTTCTTCTTCTTCTTCTTCTTCAGATTGGAGACTATCCAGTTGGATAGAGATCAGGGTTGGATTTCGGTGATACGAGACTGTGGTACTTACCTGATTGGAGACTTGGAGATTGTTGAGGTTGATACTCGGCTGCATCACAGTTGGACACCGGTTACATCTGGACTCGGTTATCTCCGACATTGGTGACCTTTGGTCCTCGACATTTTGATCTTGTTATATGACATTCCGGGCTACCATTTCGAAGACCTATCAGACTCTATCTTGTGACCTATCGGTGTGATCTACCTCCTACCTCCTTCGTCTCTCCTCCCACCTTTCATCTGTGCATGTGTACGGGATCTGGGTATCGTCTATGCATGACCCAGACCCCACCATCTCATGATTGTATGTGTGTGGAGTGATGCCATGTAGGTCAGTCTATGTGAGTCAGTTCGTTATCAGACTTCCGCTGCATAAATGCTCATCCTATATTGGTTGATCTTTGGTTCTGCCCATACTCATTGAAGTATGTAACAGTAGGTGAGCTAGGAAGGTTGTCGTATTCTCGGATTGGATCTATTCTTCTATGAAAGTGGAACCTCCAATCTATTTCCACAATTTTTTTTCTTCCAAGATTTGCAATTTTTTTGAAAGCCGAAACTTTGCGGAACCTTGCCTAGATCTCGCTCATAGTACCCCTCTGCCATGCCTCACTCGTAGCAGATCGACAGATGTACAAAAAAAGAAAAAAAGAAAAAAAAAGGGGGGTGGATCCTCTTCTTTTATTTTTTATTTTTACTTTATTCTGTTGATTAGGAACGGGAGAAAAGTACAGTTTGGTTGGTTACCTTTGTGGGTTTCCCTCGCACCCAGCCCTTTGTCTGCATCCCCGGTTTGGTAAGTGCCACGACAGCAGCAGTGCCACGTCAGCAGCAGTGCCACGTCAGCAGTACCACGACAGCAGTGCCATGACAGCAGTGCCCCGACAGCAGGAGTGCCTCGTCAGCAGCAGTGCCACGACAGCAGCAGTACCACCGTCCGCAGTGCCCCGCCACCATGACGGTTTCAGCTTTGGGCATGACAGGCCAATTGGCCAACGAGTCCATTGACGAGTACCGACAGCGGGTTCTAGCTCAGCTTGCACTGATCGCGGCTGAGGTACAGCGCCAGGCGACAGCCGAAGCTGCCCGCCTACAGGCTGAAGCGGCGGCAGCAGCTGAAAAGCAGCGGCTTCAGGCCGAGGCTGATGCAGATGCCCWGGCCCACCGCAAGGAGGCCCAGGATCTGCTACAACGGCACGAAGCCGCCAGCGTGGAAAGGCTCAAGTTCTGGCATTTTGAACCAGCTGAGGACAACGACGACAGGGACACCGGAAGACCAGCATGAGGAGTTCCTCTCCAAACTCGTGACCCGGTTGGTTTACACTTGTAACCACCTGCAGTCCGAGTTATAGAAACAACAGCAGGAACTGGCGAAACAACTCCAGGAACTGGCTAAACAACACCAGGAACTGGCAAATCTCCGACGGACATTGCAGATCCGAACTGGCGAAACAACTCCAGGAACTGGCGAAACAACACCAGGAACTGGCAAATCTCCGACGGACAATGCAGAACCACGAGGATCTGCACAAGGATGCTACACGAGCACTTCATTCCCGTGTACAGGACTTGGGGAAAGTCGCACCAAGACCAGATGTTGGCGAGTCCAGCAGTGCACCCTCAACCCGCCAATTGGAAGAACGAGTTGACAAGGTAGTCGCAATGCTCGGCGACATCAGCACATTCGCCGCACCAGCCACCATCAGCGAGCAGCTCGGCACCTTGCAGACCGAACTCAGGCAGCTACACCAGCCGCCCGACAACGATTGCAACACCAGTGCTTCGAAGCACTACAAGATGTCGACGTTCCGGATCGAGAAATTTGACAACTATATGCATCATAACCCAAACGTCTGGTGGGACGGTTTTACAACAGAGCTTGGGATTCACGAGGTCCCCGAATACTTGTTCATCTCGGCGCTGTTCCTCAACGTCAAGGGCGGATGCCAGATCTGGCTCAGCTACATGGCAACCATCTACGGCGTCCAGGTCAACCATCTATACAAGAAGATCTCCTGGGAAGATCTGACGAGAGAATGGAAGAAGCGGTTCATCGTTGACGTCGCCCCGGCGCTCGCCATCAACTGCCTCTTCACCATGACCCAAGGCAACACACCGACACGCGATTGGCTCACGGAATGGCAAAAGATCATGGCAACGCCCGATCTCGAGTTGCCATTTTCGCATCTGCGCCGAGAGTTCTACAACCGGTCGTGTGCCGCCTTGAGCCTCGCACTCGGTGATCGCAAGCAGTACACGACCTTTGTTGAGATTATCGACAAGGCGCGAGAGATCATCAAGACCAACCGGGCTGCTGCACACGAGAAGTCAGCGTGGCAGCCAGCCTATGTGGAGAAATGGAAAATTTGGTCCGCATCCGCAACATGTTGCTGCAGTCCAACCGGACAAAATTGTGGAAGACCCGGCAGCCACCTCAACATCACGTGAGGGAGATTAGGTGGGCGCTGTCCAGCCGCGAAGCAACAATAACTCCCGTGGAAAAGGGAAGGCGAAAACCGCATCGCCGGCCAGAAACGGACAGCCAGTACCATGGGTCAAGTTTCACTTGACAAAGGCCGAATACAAGTGGCACAACCAGTATGGCTGGTGCTATTGGTGCAACAACACAAGTCACAAGGCCTCCCAATGCCAAGATCACGACAAGGAGGATGTTCGACCTCAAATCAGCTCGGGAAACTGAGCTACGCAGGAGGTGAGGCGACTCCACCTCTCACTCCGACAGATTCGGCCGCCAGGCTAGCGGCCTCCTACACATCTGGGGAGGAGGCGCATGTCGCTAGTCCTCGATAATCTTACGAGGATTACGCTGTCCACTTGGTCCCACCGTCGGACCAGCCACTCCACGTGCAACAATCCACCGCATGCACGGTTTCACCACCATCAGCAAGCAAGGTTTCACCACCATCGGCAACCGATTCGGCAGCTTCGCCGCCAACTTTCGTCGGGGATCGACGTCATGGTCAAGACTTGAAGAACTCGACCCGTTGACGTTCGCGGACTTCCAATGGATGCCCATTCCCCCGACGGGTCGATTGTCGAAACCGCATTGGAAGGTGCTCATGGCACAATTGCGCAATTACTTGCACACTACAGTACCAGCTCCGTTGATGGACATCGAAGTAGAGGTTGTCGACCTTCACGACTATGTTGCGAAGATCGACTGCGAGTTCAAGACACAACGGTACGACGACATCGACGCGCCATTGTTGAACATATGTATTCAGATCGGAGAAGCGACCTGCAACGCTTTGATCGATTGCGGCGCCCCTCGCAACTATATCAGCCAAGACTTTATGGTACGCGCAGGCCTTGGGCCACGCGCTCGGAGGAAGTCGCAGCCCACGAAAGTCACGTTGGCCGATGGTCACACGCACAAGTCAATCGACCGGTGCATTGATTCTGTCCTCGTGCACTTCGCCCCACATGCAAGCAAGGCCGTGTCCTTCAAGGACACCCAATTCGACATGATTTTGGGCATGACATGGCTGCGAAACGAGGACAACCCAATGAAATTGTACCGCCGCACAGTTCACGTTCGTGATCGGAATGAAGTAGTCCTATGCATAGTGCCTCCAACTCACCCTTCGATTAGTTGTCACGTGGTGTCCGCCGCGAGCATTCGAGCTTCCATCACCTGAGACGACATCGAGGAGATGGGTGTGTGTTTTCTCCACGCCCTCTCGCCCCATGACATCTCATCGATGGACGCATCAACGGATCCACGCATCACCAAGCTTCTCGACACCTACGGCGACGTGTTCGAAGCCCCGCACGGAATAGTACCGAATCAGCCCATCCGCCACGAGATCATCCTCGAGGCGGGGGCCGTACCTCCACGTGGTTGCATCTACCGCATCAGCGAAGAAGAGTTCAGTGTGCTACGGGCACAACTCGACGCCCTTCTTGAGAAAGGTTGGATTCGGCTTAGCTCTTCGCCATACGGCGCTCCCGTTCTCTTCGTCCAGAAGAAGAACAAGGACATTCGGTTGTGCATCGATTATCGCAATCTCAACGCGCAAACCTTCAAGAACGCCGGCTCCCTTCCACACATCGACGACCTCCTCGAACGGCTGGGCGGCGCCAAGTTCTTCTCCAAGCTTGACCTCAAATCGGGATATCACCAACTCGAGATCCGGCAGGAGGACCGCTACAAGAGCGCGTTTGAGACGCGATATGGGCATTTCGAATGGCTGGTTATGCCTTTTGGCCTTATGAATGCCCCCGCCACATTCCAAGCGGCTATGACAACGAGTTCCGACACATGCTAGATATATTCGTACTCATCTACCACACCTTAGTGTACAGTCGGAGTTTGGACGAGCATGTGGAGCACCTGCGCACCGTTTTGGAGCGGCTATGACAAGCCAAGTACAAAGCCAACCGAGACAAATGAGAATTCGCGCGGCAAGAGTTGGAGTACTTGAGACATTATGTGACGGCAAAGCCATCCGTCCGCTCGTGGACAAGATTGAGGCCATCCACATATGGCTCGAGCCCACCAACACCACGAGCGTTTGCTCATTCATGGGTTGGCAGCCTACTATCAACGCTTCATCACTGGATACTCAAGGATCGTCGCACCATTGACGGGACTACAATCGCCAAAGGTGCCATTCATATTCGATGATGACGCGAGTCGGCCATTCCAAGCACTCACGACGGCCATGCTCATAACACCCGTCCTTAGCATCTACGACCCCACCTTGCCAACGAGAGTCACGACTAATGCTTCTGGCTATGGCATTGGGGCAGTCTTGGAACAACACTACGACGACGATTGGCACCCCGTGGATTATTTCAGCCACAACGTGCCTCCCATCAACTCACTTGATGATGCAAGAAAGAAGGAGCTACTCGCGTTCGTGATGGCTCTCAAGCGTTGGCGGCACTTCCTCCTTGGGCGTCGTAGGTTCACATGGGTCACTGACAACAACCCGTTGACCTACTACAAGACGCAGGATACATTGAGCAGCACGATCGGGCGATGGATGTACTTCATCGACCAATTTGACTTCACACTGAAGCATCTCATCGGCCTCTCCAATCGTGCAGCAGATGCACTCTCGTGAAGAACCGATCTTTGCGCTATGACACATCATGCCTTCGCGTTCGACGAGGAACTCCTACGACACTTCAATCGGTGCTATGAGTCCAATCCGGATTTCGCCACGCTCCACGTGCAGCTATCTTCGGATCACCCACCGGCCAGCCACTATCGCATCATCAACGGGTACTTGCTCCTCCACTAGCGAGGCAAGGGCTTATTGTGTGTCCCATGAGATCGTCGTCTTCGAGCTCACCTTCTCTGCGAGTACCACGACTCGCGACTCGCTGGCCATTTTGGAGTCAATCAGACTATCGCACGACTTCGGCAATGATTTCGGTGGCCCGACCTCATTACCGATGTCACTCGGTATTGCGACTCTTGCGAAGTTTGCCGACGAACCAAGCCCTGCAACCACAATCCCTACGGCGAGTTGCGCCCATTGCCTATCCCACGGGAACCCGGCCTCTCCATTGCCATGGACATCACGGACCCGTTTCCCCACAACCACTTCGGGCACGACGGCATCCTCACGGTCGTTGACCGATTGAGTAAATACGCGTGATTTCTCCCTTGCAAGTACTACGCCATGGCTCCCGAACTTGCGCGCCTTTTGCACACCGACTGGATTTGCAGCCACGAGGTACCGGAAGACATCGTTAACGACTGCGACACTCCTTTCATGTCCGCATTCTGGATTTCTCTCATGCAGGAATCCGGCACCAAGATGAATCCAAGTTCGGCTCGGCATCCACAAACGGGACGGGCAAACGGAGCGGGCACATCAAACCGATCAAATGATGCTTCGTACGCTCATCCGTCCGGATCAGAAGGATTGGGTTGACCGCCTCCCCGACATCGAGTTCGCCTATAACACTTCGGTGATTGGCATGACTCCATTCGAGTTGCACCACGGTGGCCGGAAAGGCTGTATCTTCGCTGATCTTCTCCTTCCACGAACAACCGACATAAAGGCCGCTTGCTCTCCCGCTTCCATCCGGAAGTAAAGGGAATTGCTGGCTCAAGGCCGCATGGACATGCAAAAGGCTCAAGTCCGAATGCAGCAGCAAGCCAACAGGCGTCACGTGCCATGTCCCATCCGCGCCGGTGATCTGGTTTGGGTCTCCACGGAAGAATTGACGCTCGAACATGATGTTTCGTGCAAACTACTCCCCAAATGGTTTGGACCATGGACCGTCCTTTCAGCCGCAGGCGACGAGCCCGATGGCCCATCCTTTGTGATCGACATCCCTCCGCATCTGCCTGTCCATCCAGTCATCCATGGATGGTCATCAAGAAGTCGACCACGTTATCACGGATCGCAAGTACGGCAGCAAGCCTCGACAATACAAAGTTACCTTCAAAGCATGCGATCCCGACGACACTCGATGGATTTCAGGAGCAGATTTGAAAGCATCCGCACTGCTGATTTACGCTCACTACGAACGACAAAGGTTAGCTAAGGAAGTTTCACGACCTGCCCCTCCCACCCGGACTTTGGGCCCTCCCTCCGACAGGAAGCTTCGCCCTAGCAGGTAAGCTCGGTCTTTCAAGGAGGGGGGGGTGTGGCATACTGCGCAGCCACACGGGCCTGTAGGGCCTGACCAGATGGAAAATAAGGGCCTTCCAGGCCCTGTGTCGTTTCAGCCTAAAAAAAGGGCCCTCCAGGCCCTGAGTCTTTTCAGCCTGAAACGGAGGGCCATTTTCAGGCCCTCCCTCATAAGGTCGACCTGCCCTGAAACTTAGGCACCAGACCAGGGTTTTAGCACAGGCCATTATTGGGCCTGTTTCAAGACAACCTTTGTTTGAACTTCAACGCCCGGGTCTGGCACGATTCGGCTTGGGCAAAAGAAGCCTCCCAGGCCGGACCAGCACTATATAGTATTGGTCCGCCCTGCACTTCACAGACAGTTCACAGGCACTTCAACTGCAGGAGGCAGGACGCAGTCTTCAGGATTTCGGCAGCAGCACTCTGGAGGAGCGCTGCAGCAGTAGTAGCGTTAGGAGTAGTCTTCAGCGCTGGGCCAGGGAGACTTACCTGTGGCGCCATAGCTCCAGCTTCGTCTTCAATGTACCTGCAACAAGGCGCCACCTTCACAGGTTAGTACCGGACACACACACACACACACACAC